ATTTTTATCTACAGATACCATGGGTCACCTTCCATGGAGTTCGCCATGTTGAACCGCCATGTTTCTACAGTAGCCCAGAACGGACAATTCAAACACTGGCTGTAGATATTTGCATTTTTTGCAAGTTTTGTGGCCACCGTAGTTTCTCTTACATACTTCACAGTCAATGCTTATTCCCAGGTCATCAAATGCAGACGTGAGAGGTATTCAGTTAGTTGCAATATGCAACTTCCCTGCTACATGCCACTAAATCCTACACACTGGTCCTTTGAGGAACACATTAGTCATAGTCATTATCACAATAATCATGAAAACATACTTCATAAATGACATAAATTAAAATAGAAAGGCACCAAGATAAATTAGTAGTACTCCTGTATTGTGCCTTGTGAGCACTTTTGTACAAGCAGATATTAAAATACCAAATATATATTTATCAGGGCGGCCCTGCCTGAAAATCTACTTTTCCCAAAAATAATGTGAAATATTGCAAGGGCAGATCAATGTTAGGCATTGCTTTAACTCAAATCCATGTATAGTGTCTTCATTTGGTTATAAATCTGAACATTTGCAAAAACGTCCATGATGACATACAACATATATAACCTTAACTCTGCCTGCAGGTGTAGGATATCCTCGTGTCACAATCTCAACTGTACCTACAACACTGATGTCCCCACCAAGTGATGATTGCTGAGGTGAGTTATTTAACTACCCTCACCCACCCCCACCTGCACACCCCCGCCCCTCATGTCATGGCGGGAGAAGGCGCGTGAAGAGGAAGGCCACAGGGGCCAGTTGTTTTTAAATAAACTAAATCTGCTAACAGTTTTATAACCCTGACCTCGTAAAACTGGCTGCAGCTTTTGGTCAGCTCTCTCTCCTCATGGCCCGAGCAGAGAGCTGGAATTCCCATTTGCCGCTGTGGAGCGTGTCGGTGCGTCAGCTGGTGTGTGTGTGTGAGAGAGAGAGAGAAAGGGCGTATGATATACGACTGCTGTGTCACGATCCACATGTGACGAGCGTCCTCACAGGCAGAGCATCCAGGCTGCTCCCTCTTTCTGCTGATTTCCCTGCTTGAGAAAAGTGAGAAAGAGAGACTGTGGGACAGAAGGGAGAGAGAGAGAGAAAGAGAGAGAGAGCGAGAGAGAGAGAGGAGGTGAGAGAGACAGTGAGACAGAGGGAGGAGAGAATAGCTCTCAGACAATCAGTGTGTGTGTGTGTGTGTGTGTGAGGTAGAAGCGAAGGAGATAGGAGCTGGCTGGGAAACAATAGTTGAACAACAAAATCCAGGGTTGCGTGCAGGATCTCAGCCTCTCTCTGGATACCTCTGCTGTCCTCCTGCTGCCGGACACTGAAGGTAAGAGCCTAGGTGTCACATCTCAGGATCAGGTCTACAGCCACAGGAGGACTGGTGCCTCCTTTTTTTAATCCCAAATAAGCTGAAGATATATAAAAAAAAAAGCTAACCTGTAGTTACTTTTTAACAGATGTTATTTTCGGTATAAACCACCACAGGTTGCGTGTGAGATAACGTGATGCATGCATTGTCACATAGCTGTACATGCATGATACTCGCACAACTTCAGCTATTTCTCTGTTGCATATCCATACGCTCAGGTGCGCATTCCTCTTTTACTGCAGGTATTTTCTGCTCTGCACGTGTCCAGAAACTACAAGTGGTTATGATTAGGAAAACAGTGTGACATGATGTGTAATCGGAGGAAACATGTTTGTGTTGGCGCCGTAGGATTCGCTAATCAGGCACTGACAGCGAGGCTGGAAGGATAGCGGAGCTCGCGGAGCTTGTAGGGAGTGTGTGTGTGTGGGTGTGTGTCGGAGGTTAATAGCGGTGTGAATAACTTTGAATATGTGTTTTACAGGTGTGTGCGTTTATGTCCGTGAGTGTATGATTGACTTGGCCCACTGCTGGCTTATGCTCGAAAGAAATGATGACAGATATAATAGACTCTGTGGTAGGTAGATAGGAGGAGGAGGAGGAGGAGAAAAGCTACCACTTCCATCGATCTGAGAAGGAGAGGCATGTGTGTGAGAAAGAAAGAGGGTGAAGGTGTTTAAATGAAAAATGAAGTGACTACAAAAGACCCTGGGGGGATAACAAGGGGGGTTGGGGGGGGGAGAAAAAGTCCAAATAGGAGGGAAAACATCTGAGAAAGAGACAGACAGGCAGTGCCAGAGAAAGACACAATAAATAGGAGAAACAGAATGAAACTGAGATGTGTGCGAGGGTGAGAGAGAAAGAGGGCTGGAGGAGGTGAGAGGGACTGACACAGGAGAAAGAGAGCGAGACTGCATGATGCAAACATCCCTCCAGACGTCCCTGTGCACTTCCAATGACACCAGATGAGAAACAGTTTGCACAAGGAGGGGTCTCTTTCTCTGCTGCTCAGACTGAAAATCACCTCTGCGAGTTTGGAGGGGAAGAGAGTTTGAGAGATCGCACATTCAGCCAGGTGCAGATAGACAGCAATGCTCTGGCACAGCAGTGCGCGGCCGCTTTTGTGTCTGCACTCTCATGTTTCATATTCTCACACATGCATGCAAACACACACACACACACACACACACACACACACAGGGGCCCATTGTGAGCGTATTTATTTGGACAGTGTTGAAGCTCCGATAGGCAGTTCACAATGTCTCACCGCCACAGGAATGTGCTTCTGACAAATGGATGCTCTGCACGAACCGCAGGCCATGGAGAAGATCCTTAACGCCGCCCTGCCAGACAGGCATGTGACAGATCTCCACTGCCCCCTGAAAAACCTGGTCCAGCGCGATAAAACAAACACGCCCACGACTCCTTCACTCACTCTTTTCGAGAGAGCCTCAGGCTTTAAGCTGAATGAAGGATTGATCTGGTTTCATGCACTGGTTTTAGCCTGCAGCTCACTCAGTTTTTTTCTCTCTGTCTGATGAGGATGGAGAGAACAGATTTAGGATTTGAGGTGCATGTTGGTTGAACCGGTAGATTAGGGGTTCTGTTTTCTGTTCACACCACATTCTGATCACCTCCCCACAGTATGGTGCGCTGAACAGCAGCCAGAAAGAGCTAGAAATCGGAGAATATTCAGACATATATGTCCTCTCTGTCTTCCCTTTCTGTCTCCACTGTTTCTGAGAAGCCTAAATTGCAAAGCTAACACAAGCTTAGCTCCAGCTCACATGGCTGTCTGTCATTGGCTGTACACTGCTCTCAAATCCACACTGTTTGTCTTATCTTTACTGGGGGGGATATATTTAGTGAGGAGCTTAGCTTTTAGGAGGTTGGCGCGTGGGGAAGGTAGGAGAGGGTGAGTGTGTGTGTGTGAGGGAGAGAGGAAAGCCTAAGTTTGTGTGTGTGTTTCAGGAGCTGGCGTCAGTAGACAGTGGAAGAGCTTGGCACTCTGCATGCCAAACTGTGTGTGGGTGTGTGTGTGTGTGTGCCTGTGGCTGGAGGACAGGTCTGTGGGTTTGCCCACCCCCCTTGCTCCAGTCAGGAATCTGCCCTTTAGTTTATTAAAAGCTGGTGAAACAATGGAGGGAGGTAAGGTTGGGGGGGAGGGAGGGGGGTGAAGCACCGGAGCAAATCAGAAAGGAGTGCAATGATGTAGTTGGAGAGAAGAAGAGAGGGAGGGGTAGAGATGGGAAGAGGCACTTATGATGGCTCAAAAAATTACACTCCCCCCTCCCTCTGTACCTGTCATTCCAACCTCCCCTGGTGTCCTTTGATGCACCTGTTTTCTGTGTGAGGCATCGCCACCGCAGACGGACCCGTCCCCTGGACAACAACTGTGTTCTCAGCTGCCGGCTGGTTAAAGCTGAGGATCTCTCTGAAGGTCTGGCTCCTCAGCCCGGCCCATATGCCATCACACACCAGCATCCCAGCAATGTTTAGAGCCCCAGAGCACAACAAGAACGCCACACAGCCCCATGTGCTGCATGTGGATATGTGTGCGGGTTTGTGAGAACAAAAACCCATAAGTAAGGTGGGCAGGGGATATTTATACATGCACCCCACTGCTAGGAACAAAACGTAGTAACGTGGACTGAGAAATCTTGCTCTACACGACATATGGCTGGAACAGTTGGGAGACTTCATGGTGTGTCACTTTACATAACAGATTCTGAGATGATTGTTCCACGTTTACCTCTTGAGCAAAACATTATGACTCTTTTTTTGTGTCAGTGTATTTTCATTACTTCTACCAATTATTTATTAAAGATTAATCATTCAGTAATTCATTGTTTGGTTTAAATTAGGCCCTCCGATATTATCGGCCGATA